AAAAAAAAAACCTTTCTCGGATTAAGTGTTCGTATACATTCCGCTATTCTTCGATCTTCAATTTTTGGATGTTCAGCCTCTAATTGGTTCCCCATCCTAAAATATCCATAATATCGGGGTTAATCAATAGCAGAGCGCACCAGGCTGGGGTGGTGTGACTATGCATTTTGTGCAACTCTGTTCATCGGATACTTGTGTGCAAAAACTCTGTCCAAAGAGTCTTGCTGTTAAAAGTGTTCACTGCTTTACTGTTTAATATGCACGCAGAAATTTTTGGGGTTCCCGAGTTGTCAATTTTGGTGCCAAAACTTTTACCTGTTCTCGAACGTGAGGTCTGGCTGAGGAGCGCTAGGAATGAATTTACATGTGGACAGAAAGAAAACTTCTGAAATTTCAGCTTCTCAGCCTTTTTTTTCTGCCTCCCGAGATAATAATTTTCGCGCCAAAACTTTCACAGTGAGACATAGGCGTAGATGCTCAGATGTTTAGATGGTGGTGTTCTCACCCAGAAATGCGAAGTGAGCATAGGAATAAGGGGGTTTTAGCAAAATTCATGACATATATAATCCATAAATGGCACTACTTCCAGTGTTTTCATTAATTATCAAAATTCGACTTTGTTTCTGTTCTCCATTTTGGCTAAAAAACCTTAACTTTTTTTAAGGTTAGAGAGAAAATATGAGCAAAAAAAAAAAACGATGGAAGGGTTGTAAAGAATTATTAAAATAGATAAGAAATGTTTCGGTCCATTAAGTCGTATACATTTCTTACCTTTACAACTGGACCTCGTCAGTACGACGATTGTGGTAAAAGAATGCGATAGACCAGCAGAGGGGGAAAATGGGAGGGCGAAGGGGCCATTTTTCTCAAAAAAAAATCAAGTTTTATCACAAAAACACTGAAATTTGAAGAGGTTTTTTGCTGTTTTACCAAAAATTCCACGCATAAAACAGCACACTATATTACTTACTTTTCAATAGCCTCATCAAGCCGTTTTTGCAAATTGGCCATTGCTGTCTGCTTCAATGCCACAACTTCTGGCTGATCACCCGGGTTCACTCGCAGACAAGGCACTTCGCGAAAATTGGTGTTAAATTTCACTGATTGTACACGATTGGTCACTGCGCAAGTTGACTCGTTTGCAAGACCAGCTAATACAGAATCCGAGTTTCGAGAGGACAGCGGAGACGATTCCACGCATGAACGTTCGGGAGCTTCAACTGCGGTGATTGTTTCCTCATCGGCGGGTGGCTCCACGACCGATGCTGAAAATCTAAAATCTAAAAAATCTAAAACCTAAATTAAAATGAAAATAAAATCTAAAAAAGTAAAATAAATA